GATTAGGATTCGATGAATAGATTTGCTCGCCTAAGGGATTAGAGGTAAATAACTCTTAGTAAACTCAAGTGAGTAATTATAATTCTTGCATCGATTGAAAATGGTAGGAATCTATAGGAAAGAATATGAAATCAATTCTCTAACAATTTTAATATTGAATGAATTTTTGTTAATTTTCTACCTTCGTTATTCCATCTATTTTTTAATTGCTCAAAATTAATTAACGTAAATTAGTAATTTAGTATTCAACAAATTCAATCCTGAGGATGATAATATTATTACTACAGTAACAATTGGTACATTTGTCAAATGTGCAACACAATTGGTCTGCTAATCCAACTTTTTACATGTAGCCAGGCAATAAACATCTCTTTCATTTGTTCCTTGTTTCGAAATTAGGTTAGACCTTTATAAGGTTTATAGGATAGTCATTTGCAAATTACTTCATAGAGTAAGAGTTTGATCGTACTCTGCATGTTGTTTTTCTGTGCACCTAATATTTAGATTATCATCCATCAACATGATATGTAGCCATAGTCCCAAATACAAAACATGTCTTCCTTATCCTTTTAATTAACAGACAATGATTAAAATCCATTAAAGCATTAACTAATGATTTAACTATTGTGTTCAGCTTGTAAAAAGGTATGCAGCTGAGATTTTCACCTCTGTCATTATCTCTACCATGTTCTCATTGCACTCAACTGCCCTAGTTGGACGTCTAGTTGCTTTAGAACCATCTTTAACTGTATCCATTCTACCCAGATGTATAACAGTGGCATTGGCTCTCAGCACTGTGTCTTTTTTGAAGGTAAGTATCATGTTTTGCATAGCTGTTTATCATAATCATTATGCACCATGTGACTCTACATTGGAACTAATGCAATAAATGTAGAAAGGTTAGTCTGAACTGAATTCCTAATTTATTTATGGTCTACCAAGCAAAAGAGAGATTATTTGATCTCTGAAATTTTGCCATGTGGGCAGGTGCCAATGCATCTGTCACAGCAGCAGTGGTTGTGGTAACTGGTCTGGTTGGAGCAAATTTTGTGCAATCAACACTAGATAAACTTCGACTTCGTGATTCAATTGCTCATGGAATAGCAACCGCATCTAGGTATATTTTGCAATTCATAGATCATTCATTTGACTTAGATATCATCGACTCTGCTGTCCACTCTTCAATTACCATCGTAATGAAGAGTCTTAGCAACAAACTCTCTGACTTATGAGAGATTCACTAAATAAGATGTAAAAGTCACCAAATTTTGTGATTTTTTAATAAATAATTAATAAAAGAGAAGGATTGCATTTAAAAGAGTATGTCAGAAAGTATGTTTCTAGCATTTCTTCCATCATAATTAATGGTTGTTGAGATTTGACAGTAGTTCAGTTCACTTTGTCAAATTTAGTTGAGTTGTAGTTTGGATATGGAGAAATAATATTACTTTAGGAAATATGGCATTGAGGAGATAAACTATTTTCTTCCTCAAGCATATATGCTTATTTTCCTTTCTCTTGAATCAATTTATACAGTGCTCACGGGCTTTGAACAGCAGCTTTATCTCCCAAGGAACCTGAGGCTCTCCCATTTTGTGCCATTGCTTATACTCCTAAGAGCTATATAAGTGTATAGCATTATTAAGAATCTGTTTTGGTGCAAAGCAATATTAAGAATCTGAGATTTAGTAGCACCATTTCTTATATTATACAGGAAGTAATAATACCACTGTAAATCCTGTATATTTTGGAATCGTATCTTGCAAGTCAAGCGTTCCACACTATAGGTTTTTTTTTTTTTTTTTTTTTTTTTTGGCAAAATTGGTTAGTTCAACATAACTCGCTACTAAAATTTTCTTTATTACTTGAGGATTTTCTTGCAAATTCTTCTCAAAAATTCGCAAGAAACAAGTTACCTACAAACTTTTCTGCAAATTAAAATTTGCAGGTAAAACCTTCGTGGATAACTCATTTTCCACGGATTTAAAAATTCGTAAGAAATTTCTTGCGAAAAATTTTTGCAGGAAATTTTGGCAAGGAAAATTATATTTTAAATATTTCCTGCGGATTTTGCTGCAAAAAAATCCGCAGGTAATCTTTCCTAAGAAAAAAATTGCAAGAAAATGTGTAGGTACTTTTTTACATACCTAAAATTTGCAGCAAAGTTTGTTGCAAATTTCAAAACCGCAAGAAAAGTCGTAGAAAACTTACCTGCCAGTTTTCAAAATGGCAAGAAATTATTACGGAACTGAAAATAGATATTTATTTACAAAATTTTAGTTTTTAGCGATGATTTTTTATTTATCAATTTAAATCAAATTTTTTTTAATGTAAATTGATTTAAATCTACATTATATCACGACGCAAATTAAATTCAAAACATAGAGGGGTTAACTTATAATTTTAAAATCTTGGTTTCCAACATAGAGGGTTTATGCCTTTATTTTTATCCTACTTTACATGTCAAAGGAAGTAGCAAGTTGCATAGTGGTAACTTTTGTGCAGATCCTTTTTAATAGGACCCACAATTAAAAGTAAGGCCATCATGTACTAACTTACTTTAGTTCAAGGACCTCTCCTATCATGTACCAACTTACTTTAATTAGCTAAAGGACCTCTCCTCACTTTACTTCTTCCAATAAAATCAGTATAAAATGTGACTCACCATTTTTGTTAAGAAATAATTTCTTTTCCTAATAAGTCAAAGTTATTGAAAGTTAGAGAACAACATGTTCAATGCCTTGTCATGTCCTGTTAAGCAAAATGAGTTTAAAAATCTAACCAATTTTGTTTAATAATTAAAAAAGTTATATACACATATATATAATATTTATTAAAAATTTAATAAATAAACTTAAATTTTTAATAATATTTTTAGACACCATAAATAAAATAGAAAAACTCAAGCATAATAAAAATGAAATTTTCAATTAACTTAAAAAAAAGTTATTGATAAATAATTATAGATTTCGATTTTTAACTTAAAAAATGACTCAGACCATGTAAAATTTAACAAAGTATAAAAAATTTAAACCACCTAAAATTTATTACTATTATTTTTATTTATAGTATATATAAAATTTATCTATCTTTTATAATAACTATGATTAAAATAATTATATATTAGTAAGATCCTTAACATAATAAAGCATAGTAATAATAATGCATGGATATAAATATTTTTTTAAAAAAATTATCTTATAATATAATTTATTAGAATTTAAAGTATTATTATATTAATTTTGTGGTAATATTATTTTTATTCATTATATATTTTTTAAATATATATATATATATATGTATATAATTATTTAAAATTTTAGGATATTATTTTATTTTTGTTAAGAGATAAGTTCTTTTCCTAATAAGTCAAAGTAAAAAATACAAAATAAAAAATAATGTTGAATGCAAACATATTCATATATTATAAAATCAATAAATTCACCCTACTCTGTTTAATAATTTGAAAGATTATATATTTTAAAAATAATTATGATATAAAATAAAAAATTTAAAACATTTTAAATATAGATAATAATATTTTAGCGACTAAATTATATTTCTAGTCTGTTGTCTGATTTTTATATTTATTTTAATTTTTTATTTTTTAAAATATTTTTTTTACTCATTAAAAATCTTAGAAAATAGAAATTAATAATACAAAGTAAAAGTATAACACTAATAATAATTGTATAACAATATTTTATTGTGGTTATAGAATTTTTAAATATTATTTAAAGAAAATTTTTTTATTTTAGTTGTCCAAAAATAAATATCATTTAAATGAAAATACATCAATTTATAGTACAATGCATAAAAAAATGAAAACAAAAATTAAAATTAAATAGGAGAGAGAAGAGGGTGGATAGGAAAGAAAGGGGGGAAAGGAAAACAGTTTAAAGGGGAAAAAGATTTCGGAAAAGTTGAGACGTATACGACTTTCTAATGCTACTTTATGCTAATAATAGATTTTATGTTTCACTTGTGCAGAGTCCATCGTCTACCAACTTACTTTACCTCAACACCTCTCCTTTGATTCTTAATTATTACTATCAAATGTGACTCACCATAATCATATGAAGAGCAAATCAAATTCACAAGACACTTACGTTGTCAAAGCTAGGGAAGTTGTCAAATCTGCATGAATCCCCAATAGGGGTGGGTATGCGGACGGGTCCGGTCCGTTTAAGGCCTGGTCCGCGAAGTCCGCATTTTTAACGGGCCGGATAAATCCGGTCCGCGAAATAAATAGACTTAAATCTTTAAGTCCGTATCCAGCCTGTGAAGCCCGCGGATAAACGGATAAGTCCGCGGGCCCAATTAAATCTAAATTGTTTAAATGAATATTGACTCAGATTTTTAATTTCTTTTCCTTTATTTAACCTATGAAAACATGAGGGAAAAAAAACATATAAAATGATATAAATATACTTCTAATAATAACATCAAACATTGTAAATAATAAATCAAAGTCTTAAATAACAAAGTTTACACATTCTAAATTTCTAATAGAAATATTTAAGTCTCAATGCCTTTAAAATTTAAAGTCCAAGCATACCAACTATTAACCAAATATTAAAGCCTTACTACCTTAAAACTTTAAAAGTCTTAATACACAACCAAACAAATATAAAACATTTGTAAGTCCAAGTACATCAAAGTCTAAATACCTTAAAACATCAAAGTCTTAATTAATATCTTAAAAATGAACATAGAATATTTGTAAATCTACATTTAAATGGGTAATCCGCGGGCTCGCGGATTAAATCCGCAAAATCCGCGGACTTAACGGGCCGGACCTAAAAAGTCCGTATGATTATACGAATTAAAAAACATGGGCCCGTTATCCGTGAAGTCCGCGGACTTACGGACCGGTCCGCGGACTCAAGTCCATATACCCACCCCTAATCCCCAATAACACTGAAGAACCATTTAAAGCAACTCCAGAAGAAACTTATGCTTAGATATTTTCCAAGCTGCCGAACTTGATTCCTGTAAGATTCTCATAGATAGATTAATATATATTAAAAGGAAGAAGATGGAAACAAAATAATCAATGCATAAGAAATTTAGAGGGGCTAAAAGGTTAAAGGTGTTGAAGCAGGGGAGAGTTACTAGTAATCCCTTGCCGATCAATCTAGCTACTTACAGCACAAATCAATGTTCAAATCATAACCTTTAAATCTACGAGAAAGACATTAGATACACATAATACCGTGTTACACCACCCAGGTAAAAGGAAGAAAAAAAAAATCTGAAGTCCATAATGAGATTATACAAATCAGTCATGCATATTTTCCATCTTGATGACTTAAGAAAGTAGTTCTATACAGGTTGTTAAAAATTGTTTACTATGAAGTAAGAATCCAAATTATATATCATCTATTTTATCAGAATGAACTCCTAACATTTTGTGACTTTCATCCATAAGAACAAAAATTAAACCATGAAATGAACTCCTACGGGGCGGGTTAGATTGTCATGCCTACATATAAACAAGCCATACACTGGAATCTAAACTCTTATGTTATATTTGAAAAATCTAGACATGGTCATTGGTCAGAAGTCATCACAAATAGTCAAAACTTAAACAGCAACTGCTTGGAAAAAAACAAAATGAATGCAGAAGCATGTATATGTAATTAAAGTGCATACACATCTTATTTATAGTTAGCAAGAAATCCACAATGACATTCTTCAAGAATCAAGACACTAAAATAGATGTCCCATGCTGACTGTACATTCCATAAATCATCTTAGGGAGCATTTGTTTTGAGCTTTATTAATTTATTCTTGGGAATTTGAAGATGTGAATGACATAGTCCAATGTTTCGTTCAAGTTCATTTTTAAGAAGAAAAAACTAGAAATCAATTAATGCAAGTGGCATATGTTTTGGCCCTTTTTCATTCCCATGGAAAGGGTTAGGCATTATCTGTTCCAAGAAGGGCATCAAACCTATGAAAAAAAATAGAAAATAGCCGTCTCTTTTGTTCGGCATTGGCTTCACATTGTTCACCATCACCATCAGGGACTGCTGCAACATTCACCTTCAGCATCAGGAACTGGTGAATGTGGTTTGATTACCCTTTCTTGCTATACTTTCTATTTTTCCTTATATATTACTTGACTCTTGTTATTAAATTCTGTGTTTTGACTTAAAATTATGAATTTTAATTATCAATTATGAATGTCTTTAATTTTGTGTATTATTTTTTTAATTTTTGAGCATTTATATATATGTATAAATATAAATTATTTAATTTATATCTATAAACTTCATAATAGTGGTCATTTCATTACACACTTTCCTGTTATAGCAGTTTTGGGGTCAGGCACTCCATGCCACTATCCAGGATTGATAACAATGCACAAAACTCATTGACCAGATTAGCACAGAAAGGGTGGCCTAGACTAGCCTCACCAGTGAGTCTAAAGGGTGAAGATGCAATCAACATTCAATTGCTCATAGGTTTATACCAGGGGTACATTGATGGAAAATTTTATGGGAGCATAAACCATGACCAGTTCTGATATCAGCTTGGGGGAGGTCAACAGAAGCAATGAAGCCTGATAAGGGAATGCACATCAGGTTTGACTGAGTTGTACCCAGGTGGTACAAAGTTCTTTAAGCTCTAAGCTCAAGAGAAGCAGTGGACCTTGATAAGGGGTCATGTCAGGCTTATCAAGTCATATCCAGACAGTACACCAACCAGACTCTAGTAAATAAAATTTTATTGCTTCATAGTAAGAAGCCTTGGCTAACTAGATATATAGTCTATACATTAGGATCTTTGGCAAATACATGTGCAACCAGATTTGAAAATTTAAACCAGACATGAACCATTTCTTCTTAGAAAAATTACTCGGTCATCAATTTCAACATACAAAGCAGGTGAATCTTGACACGAGACAGAATGATCAGTTTGGCCCATTGAAACCATCTAATATTATAATAGTATATATCTAGAATTGTGACTTCATAGAAGAATACACATCCTAATACGCATTTGCATATAAAATAAGATAAATTAAAGACTAATCAGTTTGTATGACATCTGAATCATTATAACAACAAGTTGTTCCACCACATTAACTTTCTTTTTATTTATATTATTTTAACATTGTTCTAGATCAATTTGATTTAAAATATAAAATACATAACACAAGCCAGCAAAAAAGATTTTCCTTTGATCACTAGTGTATTTTCTAATTTTCTTTCTTGTACCTCTATTTATGTAAATATATAATGACCTCCGTTAGTAATGTCTGAGCCCCAACAAATTTGTTATCCCAGCTGAATTCAGACAGCGCATGACTCCAACCTTGGTTGCCAATGATGTAGCTCAAGTACTTGCTTTCTCCACTCGCCTTATATAGCCAAGAAGCAGCCCATAGCAATTCATCCTATTTTGTACAGAATACGAATCACGACATTAATTCTACACATATGATACATTAATTTGATACCAACGAAAAAGATTTAGCAACTTTCTCACCTAATTCTACACAGAGATAGCTTTTTTTACAGGACCTAGTTAACCTTGTCTAAATTTCTCACCTAATCCAACCAACATCTTACCTCCAACCAACTGCTTTTACATTTTTCAGATTACAAGCATTGTCTTCTATCTCATTGAGTTGGTACTTCAAATCTACATGCAAAAGCACACAAAAAATGAAGTGTTGTGCGGTGAGAAAAATTAGGAATAAAGGAGAGAAAACAAAAACCCTAACATATGCGGAACGAGAAAAGGAGAGAAATGTTGTGGATGTGGCACGGTGGAGGTGATGAGGAAAAGTTGAGAGAAGTGTTACGGTGACTTACTTGAGAAAAAGTGTGCGGTGTGCGGAGGTTTACGGAGGTGACTCAGTTATGCGGTGTTACGTGATGAGGAAATCAAAAGATAGTGCGTTTACGTTTACGAAGGTGATGAGGTGTCACTATCTCAAGTAGTACAGTGAAGGAAGAAGGAAATGTGTATTCAAAAATATTTTCAGTTTTTAAATTAATAAAAATAATCATAAATAAGAAAATTTGCAGGAAATACTACTCACAAAAAATAAATAAATTACTTGCGAATTTATATTTAAAACAAAATTTATAGGAAAATAAAAAAATTACTGCAAATTTTTTTAGAAATTTTTATTGCAACAAAAAATTCATATAATTAATATTTTGTAGTAAAATTTGTAAGAATTTTTTGAAAATTTAAAATTACAAAAATATTTGCAATAATTTATTGGAGATTTATATTTGCAACAATTTTTGCAACAATTTCTTACAAATATTTTTTCGCATGAAAATCCTTAGATAAATGACATATTTCTAGTAGTGTCGCTGTTATGTAACATTTTAAATACATTAAATAGAAAGTGTACTTCTCTTGGCTGGCCATGACTTGATGAATTTTGTTTTTCCCATCATTCATCAATATGTAAAATGGGGCCTCAAAATTTTAAATTATATGTAAAAAATATTGAACATTAAATTATACTCAGAAACAAAAACTTTGAAAGATGCTATAAGTATAAAAACTAAAGCATAACTTGAAATATTAAATATTGTAGAAAAGGTAAATTCTTGTCTAAAAGTATAGATAATGAATAAATTTTAATTATTCATGTTACCATTTATTTCAGTAGAATGAAAACTTTCAAAATTAAAGTTAATAATTTCTTTTGTGATCATATGTACTTGAAGAGATCGAGTAATTTAGTTATTTCATCAATAGAAAATATTTAGTTTTTAAATTTGATTATACAAATTTAAAGGTAAGTGTTTGGATTAGTTGTGAATAATAAATTATTTTAATATTTGATTGTTGTTATAATTATATGAAATAAGTTTCATGTTTGGACATAGCATTGAATTGGAATATACCCGTGTAAAGTTTTTTTATATTAATATTTTTATCTTATTATGAATATTATATAATAGGAAATTATTAAAATTATGATCCTTGATTCAAATGGTAAAAATAAATACGGCATGTCTTTGATTTAAATGGTAAAAAGCTATGCAGGATTATCAAATTTTGTACACGTTAAATTTTAAAAAATTACTCTTTTAAATAATGAGAAAGGAGCATATTACTTAAAAATTAATTATTGATAAAATTATTTTACTCAATAAGTCATGCTCATGTTGTTCAACCATAAATTAAATATTCTTAATATAAAGATCAAAATTATAATTATAATTTATTTTTGAAAAATTATATAATATTTCATTATATAAATTCAAATCAACTTATAAAATAATTATTCATTAATTTAAATTAATGAAACAAAATATCAAATAATTTTTAATTTTTTTAAAAATTTATAAACTTGATCTATGCATTAAATTTTTTAATTTAATTTAAAATTTTACTATAATTTTTTATAAATTATTTTTTAATTTAATTTTGTCAAATTTCTTATAAATATATCATATACATTTATTTATAAATATATAGTGTTTATAACAACAAACTAGTTTATTTACATGGACTAAAAGTATATTTAACTCAAAATTCTATTATATTTTTTTGTTAATTATTTTTTAATTATATTATTTCAAATTTCTCATAAATATATGATATACATTTGTTTATAAATATGTAACGTTTATAACAACAATCTCGTCAAGTTATTACTCTAAATAGAGTCAGTCACATTAGAAATAAGTTTATAACATGATTGTTCTTAAACATAAAATAGAAAAGAAATCACATAAATTGTCTCAATTACTTAGTCTTTTGATGAATTATTGATTCATATCCTAATGAAATGAGATTAGATCCATGAAGTAACTAATAGTAGGATAGATGGATGTCCATTGCCCATGTAAGTCCGAAGATGAAACCTATACAACACAGATAAAAGGGAAGGTTCAACAATCTCATCTTGAACAAAAGACATATCAATGTAACTATGCTGTTACATACTTTAAGTTCTTTTTGTTTTACAAAGTTACATACTTGAAGTTGAAAATATAACATATACCTTCCATGACAGTGTTACAGTCTGCCGGGAATACATATGATAAATAGAATTCACCAAAGCCACCTGAAAGTAAAATCATGGTTATAGTGAGTAAAAGGTAATGGATTGGAACCAACAACAAAAAAATTGAATACAAAGAAAAAGTTATTGGTCAATCACATTAATGATACAGTGGGGAAAAGAATTAGATGGTGTGTGGTAGATCATTCTTGTTTAGAGTTATATTAATCCCAATTCTCAAACTTATAATTTTATTTGCTACCCAAAAGGATTCTTCTTCTTTGTAAATGAAATTGGGTCTGCTACTGTCGGGTGCGTTAAAGTTACTGTTGTCAAAGAAAAAAAATTGGATACCAAAAGTCCACTAAGGATGAGATTTTAACCTAATGATGAACAACAATACTCCATAATACACTTCCTAATTCCCTTCACCATATCTTCTGTCATCTTTGGATAACTAAAGAAAATAATAGGAATGAAAGTGAAAAGGAAAAACATAGTAGAAAATATTATTTTTTTAGATCTATAAAATAGGGTTCTTTTATTTTTAATCTTTTAAAATAATATTTTATATTTTTTTTCAGTATTTTATTTTATTTTATTTTCATTTTTGTTGTCAGATTTATTGTCAAATCTAACAGAAAAAAAAATACAATATGATCAAAATATTAAAAGAAGAAGAAGAAAAAAATTATGATATCTAAAATGAAAAAGGACTGAAACAACAATTAAAATTTGAAAAGACAAAAATAAAAATAACTAAAATTAAGAGGATATAAATGAAAATTATTAGAATTTAGAATATTAAGATTAAAATAATTTTATTTTAAAAGAATTAAACTTCAATTAATCTAAATTTATAAAATTTAAATCTTGATTTGCACTTATACAAAATAAAATTATTAATTTTTAGGTCAAAAAATTAAACATTAAATATAAAATTTTATAAAAATCTACTAAGTTATAATCTCTTTTAAATGAAAGGGATATACCAAATGATGAGTAGTAAAAATAAATATAAAACATGATAAATGTGTGACTGCACATAAACATGAAATAATAAAAAGTGATTTTTTTGAATGTAATCTATAAAAAATATTGTTGTGATATAAAAAAGATGTTAATGTAATTTTTGTTCGATCTTCTTCTTATTTTTTTTATTCATGCGCATGTGCTAAGATATACTTGATTATCTCTATCTTCTTATTATTTTAGTTTTTATTTATTTATTTATTATACTTTTTTTTTTACATTGTGAGAGTGATTTGTCATAGAATAACTTTTATGGAAATGCGAGTTTATTTTTTATAATTATTTTTTGTTAAATATGATTTGTATATTTAAACATAATATATATATATATATATATATAATTTATTATAAAATTTAATTATATAATAAACATGTCTTGTACAAGCGAAAATACAGTTATATTTAAAATTAAATTTTATAAATTTAATTCATTACATATTTAGTGTATATAAAATAAAATGTTTTTAGTTTTAATTTTTTATTTTAGTTCTTTCAAATTTGTATTATTTCGTTTCGGTACTTTTAATATTTTTAGTTTGATTATGTAAAAAGTAAAATAAAAAAATATAACGACATAAATATCTTGATTAAATTTAAAATTAGATCATTAACCTTTTAATAAAATATTTTATTTAAAATAAACTGCTTGGTAATTTTGGATGTAACTTACTCAACAATGCTGCCAAATTCATCTACTGGAGGATTATCTCGCCAAATATCCATGAAAGACCGCATTCCAATCGTGTTGCACATCGTCCATAAGAATCGGGTTATATCTGCACGCAATATTTATACATAAATCATACACACTGCAAGTTAAGGAGAAAAGAAAAGGCTCATGAATTTACCATTATATGGGACTTCTCTTTTTGAGGAGCTGGCCACTTTCAATTGTGGAATGTGAGCTATGTATTGCCAATCTTTCCCTGTTTCCCTCTTGCACCGCTTCTCCAGCTGAGGGCAGTTGTCGATACTTAAGTGACTCAAGTTGGTGAGGCGTTGAATGCTACTTGGTAGTGACCTCAACTCACTGCAGTTGTAAATTCTTAATTCACTCAAGTTGGTGAGCCGTTCAATGCTACTTGGTAGTGACCTAAACTCCGTGCAACTGTAAATGTTTAATTCACTCAAGTTGGTGAGGCGTTCAATGCTACTTGGCAGTGACCTCAACTCCCTGCTTCCAGATATTGTTAAATGCTTAAGAGAAGTCATGTCTCCCACCCACTCTGGCAATGAACTACAATCGTATATATACAATCGTTGTAGGGAGGGGATAGCTTGTAAGCATTCTAGTAATGCACCGCTAGTCATCACGTCCCGAAGAGCAGTTAGTTGGTTCATGTTGCTTGGTAGATCCACCACCTCTGGACAGTACGAAACATGAAAAACCTCAAGACAAACTAAATTCCCCAAACCTTCATATAACCATTTTAATTTCTTACACGAGTGAACTTTCAAGCTTCGAAGAGAAGTTAGACCTTGCAACACATGTTCCGGAAAAGACTCCAGTTCATTACATTTTGATATGGTTAGTTCCTCTAGTGCACCAAGCCTGCCAAGTTGTTCCGGTAGTACCTTCAGTTTGCTAAAGGAGTCAATGATGAGGGACTTAAGACAAGGCAAATTTCCCACAACCCCTTCCATGAAGGAACCCTCGTTCTCAATCTCACTGGCCTCAAGTTTCTCAACAGATGGAAGACTTGGGAATTGAAGTTTGGGGACACCGTTAATTCTTAATTCCGAAAGACGAGGGAGCATCTCTACTCTTTCATCTCTCAATATCCTCTCCAAATTTGGTAAATCTATCATAATGAATTCCTCTAACGATGGAAAGGCCTTCTCTTCCACGCCATCGTATGATTCACTGTCTATGTGCTTCACATCTTTCATTCCATGTACATATAGCCTTTTCAAATGT